ATAAATATAGATTTGTTTTTAAATAGAACACCCTGTATTTGGCCTTCCCATTGAATAGCATTTTTTTTATCTTTTCAGCCATATATATTAAGATACTTTTTATTTGCCCAAATGAAGAAAAATGCAAAAAATTTATATTTTTTCAGTTGGCCATGAGATTTATTTAGTATTCGTCTCTTACTTCATTCTCTATTATTATTATTTTTATATTGGCACCTAATTTAGATTGAAAAAAAATTATCCGTTTATATTTACTTCATAGGTTTAATTATAGGTACACTTATAACTATTGAACATAAACTAAACAAAAACAACAACTATGAAAAAGAGAACGAAAATAGCATATAGCATAACACAGTCATAGCAAGTGCATTGTCGGCCATTTTCGTTGATGACAACGTTTGTCAATGGAGCGGGTCGCATTGTAAATATGTATATTTGACACCCGTTGAATATAATTTTCAAAATGTTCCCTTAGCTCTTCGACATTATTAGCTCTAACTTAAATTTAAATTTTGTATTTAAGATCCCCCAAAAATAAAAGTCTATAGGGGTTAGATCTGGTGACCCAGGCGGCCACCTGTTTGGTCCATATGTACCGATCCAATTGTCCCCGAAATTATGATTTAATAAATATCTAACTATGTGGGAATTATGTGGAGGCGCACCATAATGCTGAAATAACATGTGATATCGTTGAGCTAGTGGCATATCGTCCAGCGGTTCAATAATATGGAACATTTCGTAAGCTAACCTTTACTATGGAAGAGAGTTACCCATACATGAAAACCAAACCGCCTTTGTTGAATTGTCGTTACAGTTTGGTGAGGCGCATTATATCGGTTGAATATACCTTCGCTGCTTATAAGAGCCTCGTCGTCAATATTTTGAAAAAAATTGGGATCTACATGAGTTTGCTGCAAAAACCATTGGCAGAAAATGACGCGTGTATTTTTATATCCTGGATAGAAATGATGGACTTTTCTTATAGTATTTGGTTGAAACTTGCGTTTTCAAATTCTCAATTATTTGAATTTACCAGTTCCTATGGTCCTTTGAATTTCTCTGCTGGATACATTGGAATTGCAACAAAAAAAGCTAAAGTATTGATTATAAGATATAGCTCTAAGTTTTTGAAAAGAACAAACTCACAGAAGTTATCATAGAGTCGTTTAAAAATTCTCTTTTCTGGCTGATGACGCTCTGGGTATTTCTCCAAATATAAGTTTAAAGCTGTCACTATTTTTTTCACCTTCAATGTAACACTCCAACATTTGAACGTTGTGAAGGTTTTCATACACCATTTTTATACCTTTCAAAATTTATAAAACCAAGTAAGTACCTAATAGTCGTTTAACAACAACAATTTTCATAGTCTTAAGATTTCTTAATTTGGTTAAAAAATCATTATTATTTATCAGGCTACTTTGATTGAAATGTGAAACAATATTTTTTAAAATGCATGTAACTTTTAAACAAAAACGAATTGGACCTATGTTCTTATAAGAAAAAAATGTTTGAAATTAATCCAGCTACCATCTGTCAAAGTTTGTCATAGAGCTTGTAGAATACCCTGTATATCNTTTTTTTAAATAGAACACCCTGTATTTGGCCATCCCGTTGAATAGCATTTTTTTTATCTTTCAGCCATATATAATAGATATTTTTTATTTGCCCAAATGAAGAAAAATGCAAAAAATTTATATTTATTCAATTGGCCATGATATTTATTTAGTATTCGTCTCTTACTTCATTCTCTATTATTATTATTTTTATATTGGCACCTAACTTAGACTGAAAAATTACAAAAATAAATAAATTAGATTATCCGTTTATATTTACTTCATAAGTTTAATTATAGGTACACTTATAACTATTAAACATAAACTAAACAAAAATAACAACTATATAAAAGAGAAAGAACAATAGAACGAAAATAGCATAACACAGTCATAGCAAGTGCATTGTCGTCCATTTTTGTTGATGACAACGTTTGGCAATGGAGCGGGTCGCATTGTAAATATGGATATTTGACACCCGTTGAATATAATTTTCAAAATGTTTCCTTAGCTCTTCGACATTATTAGTTCTATACTTAAATTTTGTATTTAAGATCCCCCAAAAATAAAAGTCTATAGGGGTTAGATCTGGCGACCTAGGCGGCCACCTGTTTGGTCCATATGTACCGATCCAATTGTCCCCGAAATTATGATTTAATAAATCTCTAACTATGTGGGAATTTTGTGGAGGCGCACAATGATACTGAAAGAACATGTGATATCGTTGAGCTAGTGACATATCATCCAGTGGTTCAATAGTATGGTACATTTCGTAAGTTAACCCCCTACTGTGGAAGAGAGCATGAAAACCAAACCGCCTTTGTTGAATTCTCGTTACAGTTTAGTGAGGCGTATTATATCGGTTGAATATACCTTCGCTGCTTATAAAAGCCCCGTCGTCAACATTTTGAAAAAAATTGGGATCTACATGAGTTTGCTGCAAAAACCATTGGCAGAAAATGACGCATCTTTTCATATCTTGGATACAAATGATGGGCTTTTCTTATAGTAATTGGTCGAAACTTGCGTTTTTTTCAAATTCTCAATGATTTGAATTTACCAGTTCCTATCGTCCTTTGAATTTCTCTGCTGGATACATTGGGAATTGCAACAAAAAAGCTAAAGTATTGATTATAAGATATAGCTCTAGGTTTTTAAAAAGAACAAACTCACACAAGTTATCATAGAGTCGTTTAAAAATTCTCTTTTCTGGCTGATGACGCTCTGGGTATTTCTCCAAATATAAGTTTAAAGCTGTCACTATTTTCTTCACCTTCAATGTAACACTCCAACATTTGAACGTTGTGAAGGTTTTCATACACCATTTTTATACCTTTCAAAATTTATAAAACCAAGCAAGTACCTAAAAGTCGTTTAACATAAACAATTTTCATAGTCTTAAGATTTGTTAATTTGGTTAAAAAATCATTATTATTTATCAGACTACTTTGATTGAAATGTGAAACAATATTTTTTAAAATGCATGTAACTTTTAAACAAAAACGAATTGGACCTATGTTCTTATAAGAAAAAAATGTTTGAAATTAATCCAGCTACCATCTGTCAAAGTTTGTCATAGAGCTTGTAGAATACCCTGTATATCTTATTTTCCCCCTTTCGAACACCTTACCTTCATTAGAATTTATTATTTTTTTTTTATAATTGAAATTAATATCTTATAACGAGCGTTCAAATAAAAACGTGGTCAAGTTGGTTCTGAAAATTTGGACGTAGGGCGTAGCGTATAGCAAATGAACTTAAACGTCATCTGTCAAAGCGCTATATCGCCGCTATCAATTTGAATATTTTCGTTTTAAAAAGCGTTTAAAATGGTGTTTTCTCAAGAACAAAAAGTGTTTATCATAGAGTCCTACTTTAGAAATGGACGCAAGATTGATGGAATTTGGAAGTATTCTATTGAGGAATGTTTCATAGAATTTCAGAATCAATTTCCCGGCGTTGTTGAGTACAAAATTTTTCAAAGTGCAGTTCAGCGTTGTGTTAATGTTTTTCGTGAAACGGGCAGTGTAACAAGAAAAGAAGGAAGCGGCCGACCTAAAAAGCGGACTGAAGAATTAAAAGAAAATGTCCAACAAATAATGGAAAATGCGCCAAGAACTTCTGTACGTGTTTTATCACAAATTTTAATTTATTGTTATAACAAGGAGGGGGACACTTTCCGCAGCTCCTTTAATTGTTTGTTATTGTTATCACGATTATTATTTAAAATAAAGTTATATAGTCATTAACGTTATTGAAACTGACAGCTGCTATACAGCTCGTTGAGAAATGAGGTTAAGTTGGTCGCTATAAGCTACTCCCTACGTCCAATGTGTCAGAGCCAACTTCGACCACGTTTTTATTTGAACGCTCGTTATATGAAGTTCTTTTAATCACATTTGAAAAATCTTAAATTTCACAGATAGCCAAAGAATTTCAGTTTGATAGTCATTATTTTTATCACCATCATCGTCTTTTAAAATTGAGTCTTATCTTTTTCTTGATCCAATTTTCAGTTATTTTTATTCATCACACTTTAATATTGTAAAACAATGCCAAACTGATTTTACTTGTCCCAATGAATGTCTGTTCATGCATAGTGAATATTCAGTATATTTTATAAGGAACATTATTTATTTTTGGTCGTCGGCTTTATTACTTCTTTATTTTGGCGCCAGGGGGCCCATTAACATACCCGTGATAATTTTGCCTTAATTCGTATTATCACGAAATCTGAACAGTTGGGGAGCTTTCTGTTTGCTTATTCATACTTCATTTTTACTCTCGTTCCGTGTAGGGTCTAGGTTATTTTTATTGGGCACCTAATTTCTTATTTATATAAGAGTATGTGATAAATCTTGGCAAAATAAACGAAATCATAGGTTAAGGCTATTTATGTGTTTGTCACGGCCTTTTATATTATTTATGTCCTGTATAATACTCTGATAACCCATATTATGGAGCCTTCGACTTCGTTTAACACGCATTTTATACGCATATAAATTTCCTGTTTTCATTTGCTTTCCATTTATGGAACTGCTTTCATTTGATGAATTATAATGAGTTATTAAACTTAGATTAATTAGTTTTAGTTCGGCAAACTTAACATTATTTGAATTATACTTCGTAGATAGACGACAATTTATAAAATATGGCGGTTATACATCTAATAATTATATTTGTACTCTTGGTGTTCCTCAAGGTTCAAATCGTGGCCCATGTATAATTTTAATTTTTATTAATGATTTAACAATATGTATTTGGAGGATCGGTTCTGTATATGACAGTATGTCTTTAAAACTGAATTAGATAAAATACGTTGATTTTGCTATACCTTTTTTTCAGAAGTGATGTTTTTTAAGTTTATGTTTATCATTGCAACAAATTTATCGTTGTAACAAACTACTCTTATGAAACAAATTCATTAAAATTATTACTCACCCAAAACTTCAGGTGACGTTCTCTTCTTGTCCCTAGCCATTGGTACCGACCTTCTGTTCATAGTATCTCTGCTTCTGCTTCCCATTTCTCTTCTGGGGAAGGTGATCAAGCTGCCAAACTGCTGGTTGTAGTCCCTCCTCTTCTTCACGTAGAAGTCCACCTTTTCTTTCTTCCTTGGAACGGTGCTGTCCTCTTCCTTCTCCTTGTAGTCCTTTGTGATGTCTTCTTTGCAGAACTTTTCCATTTCCTCGATCGAATGTTTCGTTTCCTGTTTGATTTTCTTGATTTGACACTCAATCTCCTCCAATTCGCGGTTGGAGTCCGTCCGAGTGTAGTCGGGTTTCTTAAAAACGTCCTCCTCCATCTTGGAAGGTTTCTTGGCAGTGTCGTCCACTTCCATTTTCGATTGTTTTGTAACGGTTGCATCCTCTTCTATTTTTGTTTGCGTGACATTTAAATTGGAGTCTACAAGTTTATTTTCCTCGCATAAAGGAGACACCAAAACTTCCTGGCCATTAGACAAGAACGCGTCTTTGAGTTTGGTCTTCATGCTGTCCGTAAATGATATTTTTAAGGGTTCCTTATTTAAATTTAACTGCGCGTTTTCGCTTAGCATGGTCATGGTTTCAGCGTTCTTAATCACCTTTGAATCTTCTAAAACTATATGTTTTGTTTCTGGAATTGTAGGCGATAACTTATTGAAAGGTTCCTCGACATTTGGTTCAATGTTGTATTTGGCTGCCTGAGGCTGAAGATCGGTTATAACTTGCAACTTTTCCACTGCTTGTTCCAATTCTTGCACGACCGCTTTTTCGAGTTTTGGTAACTCGTAAGGGTCTTCGAAAATGTCCTTCCTGGCGTCAAGTGTAACTTTACCAAGCTCGACCTCTACTTCTTTACTGAAATCGCCTACGATGTCTTCGTGGGTCGCTAATCGTGGCAACGCCTTTTCTTCAATTTTAATATTCAAGTCCACTTGCTGCAAGTGGATCTCAGTGTCTTCGTCGCTCTGATTGGAGTTTCCGCTGCTAGAATCACTCCGGTTAAAGCCGCATTCCTCTTCGATATTGAAGACCGGTTTGTCGTAGAATACCTTTTGAATGTTCTCGACACTGTCCAACCGATTGACACTGTCTATCTGATAGTCCGTGTCCTCAACGTTGTTGTTGTTATTCGCGTTGGCCTCTGCCTGTAGCTTGGCCGTAAGGGACTCGCACTCGAAGTCGTCGTCGGTGAAATCTGTGTCGGAGGAGGCCTTGATGCTGTAGTCGAGGGTATGAGCGAGGTGCTGGAACCCGGGGTAGTTGGGGTTGACTATGCCGCGTCTCTGCAGGGTGCCCCTGTTGCTTAGGTTGCCGTCCTCGGAGGATTCCGAGTCGGAGATGTCGAATCCCCTGTCCTCCTCTTGGGGGGAGGTGTCGGCCGACGAACAGCTTTGGTGTGCTTCTGAGGAAAAAGAAAAAAAGAAAGAGGAGTTTTTATTACAGTTTGAACAATGAGTGGCGTAAACACAAACCTAAACAAATCTAGGCTACTTGCTGATATTTAAAGCGCTATATGGGGTGTCTCGTGAGTAAGTGGACAAATTTTAAGAGTGCTTCAGATGAAAATAAGCAAAAATATATATATACAGGGTAAGTAATTAATAATGGTACACAGCTTAATGGCAGATTGTTTACGTCAAAATATAGCGATATTAAAATATAGCAAAAAATTGAAAATATTTTTCAACTTTAACACCCTGTATTTTGATTAGGTAAATGGTCAGATTGTAACCTTAACCGTACCATTTTTAAAAAACAAACCACACTTTTTCTTATTTGAAAATTATTTGTAATTTTATTTGCATCCGGATCAAGGTTTATATACAGGGTGTTACAAATTAGTAGGTCAAGCAGTTAACTACATATTCTTTGGTCTAAAATAATGGGTCTTTTCTTACGCCAGTTTTCATTTCAATACGCCATTTTCAAAATATAGGGTGTCAAAATTATAATTTAAAAAATGATTTTTATTGATAATACCGGTGATTGCAGAGATATTTATTTGAAGTTCAGCACACATTTTGATCTTAAGTCGGCACATTTTTTGTATAATTTTGGTTTAAAATATCAAAGCACGAATGGAGGGGAGGGGAGTTGCATGTATCCCTATTTTTTTTTTTTGATAAAGCGTCACTTTCTATTTTTTTCACTCTTGTAAGATTTTTATTTGGGACCTGGTTTACGAGATATTGTAACTTTTTTGGATAGGAGACATCAATTTAGTCGGCGTTATAGACCAAGTTTTAGGATTTTATGAAAAATTTCTTTTATAAGCTACGTGGTAAAGAGCTGAAACCATATATTTTGATTTGGGGCTTGCTGTACGAGATTTACAACTCTTTTAGATATATTAGATTTAGCTCAAAAACATATTGCTGATTGTGATGATGATAATTTCCATTTTATTCAGTAAATTGAAATAAATAAGAGGACTCAAATCTTATAGCCCCAGAAAATATTAACGTCGACTAAACCGATGTCACGTATCCAAAAAAGTTGCAACATCTTGTAAACCCATTACTTTAATCCAAGGAATATGTGGTTAACGGCTTCTCCTACTAATTTGTAACACCCTGTATATCCACTTTTTTAACTATTTGCCTAAGAGAAGTCCCTTTAAAGTTTGAGCACTTTCTAGCTCAACACCTTGTATAAAATCGCTGAACTAAAATTCATGACCAATTCAGATCCCAAACTTTCATCTCATGTAAAGTAAATGAAAAATATATTTGTCAACTGTTGAACATTGGAAAAAAATGCAAATTTTAGGTACCCTCTGTTTGTATTTTGTTTTCTAGATCTGTCAGAATACCCGATATAAATCTTTCCGAGTTCGTCATTAATTTTAAGTCTTTCTCTTTAAGAACTTTATACAGGGTGATTCATTAACAATGGGAAAATCGAAAGCTGAAGATACTACACGTGAAATGGTGACCATTGGTGCAAACATGCCTTATCCGAAAGTTGATAGTTTCGGAAATACAGGGTGTTGAAAGTTAAAATTTTAAATCGTTTTTTTGCGATTATTCTGAAAATATGTAGGTTAGGAACTTGAAAATTTGTGAAACTATATTTTTTTATGCGACGAATAAGATGCGTGTTGTAATTTCAGAATTGCTCATAGAGGGCGCCACTTACGACCAATTTTACCGCAAATTAAGTTAATAACTTTTTACCCTGTATGTCTAACATGAACCTTGATTCAAAAGCTGAAAGAGCAATCATTTTTCCATTAATTGTGTATTATTGTTTCATTTCGGTATCTCGATCCGTTTTCGAGAAAACTCGATTTAACGAACACTATGTTTTGATAATACGACAAATTAAAAGCGAAACAAACCAAGTGTTTCTTCGTGTTATTACAACAATTAACAATAAAGCAAATGAAATTCGTAATGATTTAAAGTCAGTGTTCGAAGAATCCACCGTTACATTTACACACTTTACACAACGTTTTCTGAGATATCTTCGAGTATGAAACAACATATTGGGACTGCGTTTGACTTCGTTGGCAGCGATTTGTATTTTTTGCCACAACTCTTCACATGAACCAATAGATTCTTCCAAAGAGAAAAATTAAGAGAATTGATGTCCGGGCTTCTGGGTGGCCAAGTAAAAATGCTTCCACACCTTGAAGAAGTTCCACTTTATTTAAGAAGAGACATGTGGTTCATGCACGATGGAGCTCCACCGCATTTTTCTTGGCCAGTGCGTGCATATTTAGATGCAGTTTTTCCAAATCGCTGGATTGGCCATGTAAGCATTTTTGCTTGGCCATCCAGAAGTCCGGACTTCAATCCTCTTGATTTTTCTATTTGGTCTCGAATGAAAGATATAGTTTACAAAGAATCTATTGGCCCGTGTCTTCACACACAGTTGTGGCAAAGAATACAAATCGCTGCCAACGAAGTCAGATGCAATCCCAATATGTTGATTCAAACTCGAAAATCTCTCAGAAAACGTGTAAAGTGTATCAGTGTCAACGGTGGATTCTTCGAACAATTACTTTAAATCATAATTACGTATTTTATTTGTTTTATTGTTAAGTGTTGTAATAACACGGAGAAACACTTGCTTTGTTTCGCTTTTAATTTCTTATATTATCAAAACATGGTATTCGTTAAATCGATTTTTCTCGAAAACGGATCGAGATACCGAAATGAAACAAGAATACACAATTAATGGAAAAATTAATGCTCTTTCAGGTTTTGAATCAAGTTTCATGTTAGACATTCATGGTAAAAAGTTATTAACTAAATTTTCGGTCAAATTGGTCGTAAGTGGCGCCCTCTATGAGCAATGCTGAAAATACGACACTCATCTTATTCGTCGCCTAAAAAAATATAGTTTCACAAATTTTCAAGGTCCTAACGTACATATTTTCAGAATAATCCCAAAAAACGATTTAAAATTTTAACTTTCAACACTGTATTTCCGAAACTATCAACTTTCGGATAAGGCATCTTTGCGCCAATAGTCACCATTTCACGTGTAGTATCTTCAACTTTCGACTTTCCTATAGTTAATGAATCACCCTGTATACCAGCAGCAGAGTTTTCAAGTTTGCCAACATATGAAGATGTAAACATAGAACATTTTTACTATTATGATTATCACTATACATTTTTTACGTTTGATCAGAAATCTCACTGCACTACCGTTTCGTTAATAATTTAGCTGGCGGTTGTATACTTCAAATTAAAAAATGAGAACAAGTAAGATGAAGACTAGATAAATATGGAATTTCTAGATTTCAGAAATATATTTCGTAGCGAAATAGGGAGTAGGTATATGAAAAATATGGTCTAATAATGTCAGAAAATTTGCCAACTAATTGTAAGACAATCACTAGTCTCAGTAAAGAATCGAGACGTTGATGTTTAGAAAATTGTCTTTTTTATTGAATTTCGATTTATTTTCATTACTATGATGTGTGAATATAATTAAATGAAATTTAAAGTAATTCTAGAAATATTCTAGTGTGAAATTCAGAATAAATGGGTACAGTAATAATAAACAGTTGAATCAGCTTAATTAAGAATGTAAAGAACTTCTGAACAGATGTATCCGATATGGTCTAGTGGCTAGGATACCTGGCGCTCACCCAGGAGGCTCGGGTTCGATTCCCGGTATCGGAATTTTTTTTTTTAAAGATGCCTTGGTTCTTCCGGAAAATTATATTTAGATAACGTTATTTCCACTCCGATATGGTCTAGTGGCTAGGATACCTGGCTCTCACCCAGGAGGCTCGGGTTCGATTCCCGGTATCGGAAGACTTTTTTCTTTTATAAAAGATGCCCTGTTCTTCCCGCAAAACTACCGTCAGATAACAATCTCAACAGTCCGATATGGTCTAGTGGCTAGGATACCTGGCTTTCACCCAGGAGGCTCGGGTTCGATTCCCGGTATCGGAAGTACATTTTTTTTTTTTGAAATTTAAAAATATAAAATTATCATATTTTAAATATGTAGTTGTAAGAGGAATTCAAGTAGATGTAAATATTATTTGGAATAATTTTAGTAATTCTTTCATTTCGTCATATCGCATAGCTCGAGATACTCATTGAATATCATCAGATTTTTTCTGTACAATAACCCACATAGATATTTTATCCTTCTTAATAGTGGCGTATGTACAGGAACTACTTTTTCCGTTGTGTTCTCGTTAGAGTGTAAAAATTAATATACAGGGTGTCTTGGATTGCATAGGCCAAATATTACCTGGTAATACAACTGCTCAGTATAAGAAAAAAGTTCTCATAAATATGACGGGCGGTTTTTCCAAGACAAATGGTGTTTATATTGAAATTCCTGAATAAATTTTCAAAATGCTTACAGCTATACAAGTGAAAATTGACCATCTTAATTGTTTATAAGGCAAAATGACAACTATGAAGCAGAATCGTTAACGGTCGGGTAAAGGCCTCGTTAAATTTTGCCGCATCTATTTCAGGTATAACATTTTATTTGCCTATACCAGAACTTTAAAATTTTAACTTTTTACAAAAAAAAAACATTATTTAATGAAAAACAATGTTAATTTTGCTTTTCTCAACTACATAAATGACTACCATTGTCTAAATTCACCGAAAATAAATATTGTTATATATTTAGAAAACACAAGAGAATTTGTTTGTATAAAAACATCTAACTCCTGTTATTTAATAGGGCAGTTAAATTGCGAGTATAATTTCAATGAGGTATGTACAAACCTCTTTTGGATAATAAACTGTCCATTTCGTCCATAATAATGCATATTCACACCTAACAATATGCATGCACAGTATAGGTTGATGCTGTTCTTCTCTACATCCTACAAGAAATAAATGTATTTCCTAGAAATAAGTATTTGTGTTTGGAATTACTTGATTCATTAATATTACATGTTTATACGCGATATTAAATATTTAGTTTTTTCTAATAAATACGCTTGTGCAACTCTTTAGGCATTAATATTCTAACATTCTTTATATGTAAATAATTATTTAAAACTTTAATAAAAAAGCAAGCAAATTTCATTTTGGAATGAAATATTTTCCGAATATGTTTCTTATTTTAAGAGTAAAGTAATCAGATAAAGTCCGGCCTATGCAATTATGACCATCCTCCGCTTTTTGCTTACGATTTAAAGTACTTCATGATTTGCACATCTGCTTCTAAGTTCCTTTCTTTGATGCTTTAAAGGATACGCTCTTTCAAGTAAGATAATCTTGATTGCTTTTTACTAATCCCTTCGATTAACAATCGCTTTCATATGTTTTTTATTGCGAATTACCTTCATAGTCCAACAAACTATCATCTGGAGACGACTCTGAACAGATGGAGGAAGCGGTCCCGTGCCGCACCTGGTTCCTGATCGAGGCAGCCAGCGTGTTGTTGATGTTGAGCAACTGGTTGTTCCTGTTGTTGACGTTGTTGGCTAGCTCCCGCTTCTTCGCCTCTTGGGAGGGGTTGCACCATTGCACCTTTTAACAAATTAAAAATTTTCATTTCATTAGGGTAGTCGCATTTTAATATATAATCCTATTTTCGACGCGCTTTATTTATTTAATTAATTAGTTTAATCGGATTGCAGAGCAGAGAAAGGGCGTGAATAAAGGAAAGGAATGAATACTCGATTCTGTAAAAACCGAAGGGGTTATTCGGTTTGAATGCAAAGTCCGGGAATATTGAGATAAAATTAACGGTTAGGTCACTTACGTTAAAGCGTTTTGAATTCTATTGGAATTTAATGACCCTTGTGCTGCCTGTATTGTCGTTTTTAAATGTAAAAATCCAACCCCGCAAATGTTTCTTCAAACTAGATGAGACTAATTATATCATTACTAACCAGAAAGCTATTGGAATGGAAGAAAAAGTGCACGATTCAATTTTCCGTTAGGAAAGTTAAGCTGATCATTTTTCAAAATGTACCAATATTGATATAGTGCCTAAAAAGGTGAAAAAGTCTCAAATACTAGTATGTATTAGGAAGATCGATGCAAATCTTAATGTGAATCATAAATTAGTTTGGTCTGTTCTGATGCATCAATAGTTAGTTATACCCATATCATATACAAAGGTTCCAGCCTTGCTGCCGCAAAACTATCCTGTTCGCCTAAAGTTTACTACTGGATTTTGCAAATACTTGAACAAAATTTTGACTTTACCACTGGCATATTGTTTACCGACGAAGCTAATTTTCCACAATAAACACGTTTGGTCTGATGAAAATCCTCATGCCATAATGGAATCTCGATTTCAACATCAGTTTTCTTTGAATGTATGGGTGATTATTATTGGAAATTTTCTTGTTCGGCCCTATCTTTTACCAATACCTTTAATCGGTGCCTCCTTAGGACATTTTCTTGTAAACGTTTTATCTGAACTAATTAACGATGTCCCCTATGCGCTAAGAGAAAGAATGTGGTTTATGCACGACGGAGCTCCCCCACATTTTAATTTGACTGCTCGTGCATTTTTAAAATTAAGATTCCGTAATAACGTGATTGGACGAGACACTCAAGGTCAACCTTGGCCACCCAGATCACCCGATATGAGCCCTATTGATTTTTTTGTTTCGGGTCATCTCAATACACTAGTTTACAAGGTTCACGTTCACCTTGAATCTGAGGAGCACTTACGTCATCAATTATAGCTGGTTGTGATGTGATAGAGCTACTCCTGGAATTGTTGCAGGTGTGCGACCTGCTATGACCTGCTATTTCAAGAAGATCTGAAGCAATTTTTTTTGTCTGAAGGTGGCCATTTAAAATAGTCGTTATAATAAATCATAGTAAAGTAATTCCATTGTTAATTAATTATTTTTTTATTATTTTAGGTAATGTAATGAGTAGTGTAAAAATGCACTTGATCAAATACATTAAATTTGTTGTTAATCGGTTTGGAATACAAAAAAAGTGTAAAGAAGCAAAAAGTGAAGATAATACAATGGCGCATATGATGACCTATTTTATTTATAATATTATAAAGCGTGGTATTTTTTTTGGCAAATAATGATCAATGATATCCACATCTCTGCCACTGCTAAGTTTCTAAACCGGGCAATTTTTTTTTTCATACCTACTGTCATGTGCACACGGAGTTTGGTTAAATTACCTCCACCGGTTTAGAAATTAATAATTAAAAACTGATTTTTTTTTTAAATTTTTGACATGCTGTGGCTGGACAATGGCTGTCCTATGACTCCAATTGATATAACAAAATAATCCTTATTTTTTGCCACAGAATACGCCCCTGAATTTTTGACCTCTACTTAAGAAACACTCTGTATATCCTACATATAATTTGCAGTCTGTATCATTGTTATCAATGGTTATTTTAAATATTACTGTATATCTATTTATATTATTAAATTTATATTTAGTTAGTATCATATATATATACTTAGTGTTTGCAATATTTAATTTTAGTTTGTTAGTATTGAAATCAATGTAGGTATCTGAAGTTAGGATTAGTGAGTCCTTCATTTTGTCTGTTGCATTCACTAGAGTCTTATTTGAAATTGCTAATATTGTATCATCACCAAAAACGTTAACAAAATCACTGTGATGATGAGAAATGATCCTTAATGTAGACTAAAAATAACATTGACCCCGGCACACTTCCCTGAGGTATTCCATACTCATTAATTATTGGTTGTGACAGTACTATCTGGTTTCGTTATTTGCTTCCTCTTATTGTTAGTTAAGTAATCTTTTAACCATAATAGGACTCTTCCCTGGATATGTTATGAAGAAGATCTATGTGAAAAACTAAACCCAAACAATTTCTAAAGTCTCTTGTAATGATGTTATTAAACAGTTCCTGTTATTTAACGATTTTCACTTGTATTTTATATAGTTTGTTGGGTTTTATCAACCAATATATAGCTGATTAATTCTTGGCTAACGGTTTAGCTAAGTCTTCCACAATAATTTCAATTAAAAATTAACATCAAAGTAGGGTATCCCACACAATGGAGGTTTATTAATTACATTACCGTTTTGGCTTTAGCATTGTTTCTTTGTTTACAACATAAAATCCGGTTAAAATTAACATACGGGCGGTAGGAGCAAGCTCAAAAATTACCAATTTAGACATGACAAAGGCATGTTTGGGCTCGACTTCGATGGAAACTAATTAAAACTGAAGGCAGGCTTAACAAGTAGCAAGGGAAAATTTTGTCAGTTGAATAATAGGGTGTTAGACTACAAAACTGGGTACATAGCTATTTTTTTTGTAAGGGACATGACATTCAAAGCGTATTGTATTAATATTGCTTATGAAGTAATTTTATAAAAAAAAATCTAAAGAGAAAACAACAAAATAGAATCAAGTTAATTATATTCGGGACTGTTTGGAATTAAGGATGGACGTACTTTTTTAAATTTTATATAAAATATTGGTCTAAAATTATACCTAACCATTTCTGTCTAGATCAATACAAGTGTTGATTTTGTTTTTCTACAGATAATTATCGATTAATACTACAAATTTGAATAGTCGCTTGTAATTATTTTTAATCTTATTGCCAAGAATATCAGAATAACAAGTGGATTTATTTATTTCCTTTAATCAAAACGCTGAAGGAGCAAATTGAGAAAGGTTGAAAGAGATAAAGGGAACAAAGATTGCATTTCATCTGCAAAAGCTTTATTAAGAAAACCGGCAGTTGCTGATGTCAACAGAGAACCTCTCGACGTGAAAATTCTGGTTGATGATGGTGCTAGATGTTGTATGTACAGTGTGATTCACTATATTTTGACCCCCCCATTAACTTTTTTGTTTTTAGAGTTATAAAAAAATGTGAAATACAAAAGTTGCACGATTTTTTATGAATTTTTCGAAAATGATAGTAGAAAAACAAATGAACTGCAAACAAAATGGCAGTGGATGTTAACGTTGTTAAGTTAAATATGGAACACCCTGTATATTTTTAAATATTTTTATACAACGTTCTCTGTCGAGCATAGTTTATTGGGTCCATCTTTAACAATAAGCGAGATCTTGTAATTGTTAGAATTATTTAAAGCATTTATGTCTTTTTCCAATTACGTAAAGATTTACAGATTTAGTTGTAATATATTGGTATGATAATGTGTGTGTACGTATTTATGTTAGCGCCAAAAAGAAATTTTATTGTTGTGATATCAATTTGGTTTTGGTGTATTGGTGGGTGTATACCTTTGCCCTACCTAACTCTAGACTCCTCTCAGTAGTCGGTTCTATTCACTATATGCTTTAGCAAGAAACCACACACAATCACAGCTATAAATACAAAAGGTTTATTAATAAATGAATTTATTATTGTTTTGTTTTATATATATGTCAAAATTTGTCAATAAGAACTGTTAAACACAATAGTCAATATTTTGAAGTATTTCACACTATTTCCAAAACCTTAAACAAGATGTTATATCGATACGACTGTTATAATTAAATTTCATGTATGACTGGTTGCATACATTAAGACATTGACATTTTATCTTATAACTTCTTGTTTAACAAATGGTTATTTATTTCTAAGATTAATATTGATAATTCTGCAAAGATTGGCCAATTTTGATTATGTCTGATATAGTTAAATAAATTTGTTTAATATGAAATTAGTGACTTGCTAAACTTTTTATATACTAACTTTTTACTTTTGAAAATCTGTATCAAACTATTTCGTATACGAATTTTACTTTTATTATAAAGGTACCTTTTATACGTATTATCGATAATGACTTGTCGACTGTTTTCTTTCCTTTACTCTGCTTGATTGTTTTTCTTAATTCTTGTCTATCCTATCTCGCTTCCTTTCAGGAACCTGTCGACTATGCTGCTTTCTTACTGGTCTCCTAGTCCCTGCTACTGATATGCGGTTTTCTTACTGCTCTCCTGGATCCTGCTACTGATATTCCGTTTTCTTACTGGTCTCTGGAACCTGCTACTGCTATTCCTCGTTCTTTCTGTCTTCCTGGACCTTGTTTGTTGGTACTCCGCTTGTCTTGTATTTCTTGGGTCACTTTTTTTACCACTTGGTACTTTTATATTCTTGATTTCTCCCACTTGAATCATTTTATACTATCTCGCTCATTAACTGCTTATATTTCTATAGGTTTTCTTTTCTTTCTTCAACAACTGTCGTTTTTCAAAATTATTTCTGTAACTAATCAATAATAATCTATTTTCTTTTTTACTATCTTGATTTTTCTTTTCCTTATAAAGGCCTTTCCACATATCTTTTAACGTGCCATTTTCCTTTTGTAATTCACTTCACTTCACTTTCTCCTTTGCACTTATACACCCTATTCTACTTTCTTTACAATCAATTTTGCCTTATACTTCAAAATATTTCTTATTTTATAATATTATTTGACCTTTCTAGTAACTGTTACTGAATTCCTTGTGGATCCCAATTTAAATTTAACATTTTTCTGACATATCCTTTTAATTAATCTACAAAATTGTCTTTAGATCTTAATATCTTTTATTAACTCTTATTCTACATTATTTTTTAACTATTTAATCAAACTGGTATTTTAACTTTTGTTTGATATCTACCAATTCTGCATTTTAATTAATTTCAACTATATTTTCTTATAACATCTTGGCATATGCTCCGATTGACTAAAATGATAATAAATTTTATACTTGAATTTTGAAATTTGTCCTGATCTACTAATCCGACTTTCTTCTACTGATTCCTCATACTTATTCAATACTAACAACCTTTTTTTTTTATAATCAAATATCTTCTCAATTTTGTAATAATCATTCCAACCATTGCCTTTACCGCTATGTCTTCTAAATAAACATTTAATTTAAATTTTACTTTTCTCTCGTTAATCTGATTTCATCTCAATATTTTTTGACATATCGGACATTGATATGAGCCAAAATGCATATAGGTATTTTAACTAAATCTCACTAATTAAGCCGTAAGAGGCCTAATTACTCATGGACAGTGTTATATGGTAGGCCGTGACAGTAACAAAGTTAACATCCGCGGCCATTTTGTTTGGACTTTGAACAAATATCGTTTTCAAAAAATTCATTAAAAAATCGTGCAACTTTTATATTTTACATTTTTAATAACTCTTAAATCAAAAATGTATCTAGAAATATATTTATATAAAAAATAAATATATAGCAATCTATTCGGAGTACTTGCGTCTGCCATTCTATTAGCCGGATCGATGCTATACACCTTAAATTAAACCAAAACACAATATAATCGCACTAAAAATAAAACAAAAATGATACGCACGAAATGAAAACTATTATACGATGTGAAGTTTAGTGTTGTATTCATCGGTGAACACTTTCGCAGCCACGTGCTTATCACACGTGTATCTTGCTTAATAATTATTGTTTACTTCATTGGAATATGTAAAGTGACCGAAATTTAGTATACATAAACAGTTACGATCATTGGCCAGCAGAACTACCAGAGATTTCACACAAAGAAAACAACTCTCTAGAAAAGTTAATGAATTTATTGATGTCTTAATATTTCTGAAGAAAGTGAGGATTTTTTGCAAAAAAGAATCTATTTCAGAATGTATATAAATAGTTGTAAGAAGTGCCTAACGTTTATAATACTTTTTTTCTGACTGGTTAGTTTTAAAAGTTGAATTAGACCCATTTAAGTTGCAAGCTTACATTGAACTTACCTTTTCTTGGACGACGTTGTTAAGTATGTTCAAGTTATCCGGCTGCAAGTTCGTCAGTTCCGTTATTACATGACTGGTGGTGTTGTTCGTGATGTGGGACGTGTAATTGGAAGTGGTCGAGGTGTAGTTAGTTGTAACGTTGCTGTTCTGCAGGGTATTTATCCGCTTCGGGGAGTTCAATATGTCGTCGTTTCCGTTATGAAAGGACAGTGGGCCCTCCATGGTCTTCAGACGCATATTTTCTCGCTCCTGAAAAAATAAAGACCCTTCAGTTTCATATTTAGTACAGATAAACAGATAAGATAAAGTTTGTTCTTAGTCGTTAAATTTTATCAAATCTAATAAGGAATCTATCGGGAAGTGTGTAGTACTTAATTTTTGAAAGTAATACATATATTTTTCCTCTCTGAAATAAATAAACCAGCATTAAGATGAATATTTCGAATGAAGTGCTTATAAAGAAAGATATAAACTAATGTTAAAGCATTTACAGAAAAATCCTACTTATTCGCTACGCAGAAATAATGCAGAAAAATATAAAACTAATTTCAGAGAAAATTTCGAAGAAGTTTAAAAAGTTTGTAATGTAATCTATTATTAATACACACTAGTCACTAGGAATTTTACATAGTTCTACCGTATACGGAATTCATTAAGGAAAATATTAAAAAACCATTAAAAAGTGACTAGTCCCCTTTTTTTATTAATGTACAGTCAATTGTAAATTTTTTTCGTTATAATTTTAGATCAAATTATCACCATGTTGGCTGGAATTCGACTCGCATTCTCAAATATTCAGAAAACCCAGGACCGGTCTTATAAAATTTAATTAAGAGAGTGCATATAAAAATGTTGACAATGTATAAGAGTTTTTTAATATTACCATTTTAGAAAAAAATCTAAGTACCTTTGAGATTTTAACATGTGGTTGTACTTGTGTCAAATAATGCCTACTACAGCACTGTAAGAAAAATTGGACTTATTTTCACTAAATTTCACTCAATAATGTATCAATTTCTGTCCACACCTGATTGAGTGAAATTTTCCTTTATTACTATGAGTACAACTAAAATTGTATAGTGAAACTATCAGTTTTAGTTCAAATATTATCAAAAATTTATAAAATTATCAAAATGCCCAATACTGACTGAAAATATACTCAATAATTTCAGTCAATGTATTCATTCCGTTCCTATTTGCTTCCACTCAAACCGATTTATTTACAGTGTATATTTTATTAAGTCTATTAATGTTATTATATTTTTTGTTTTCATTAATCTAAAATTCTAAAATCTAGACATTTTTTTAACTGTTATTTGATTTTTCCCTTACGAACCTTGTTTACGATAGAAGCATGTAAATTTCCGCGTGACTCACCCTGTATAACAACGGATGGACTACTAAGTATCAAGAAAGGCCCATTATTAATTTTAAGTCAAGCCAGTCCAACTTTGAAACATGTTACAACAATGTATATTAAGCCCGCTACTGCAGTTGAATTGTAGTGAAAAATCGCGGATCGTCGATCGCGAGATAAGAATATAAAGGAGGTGTTTAAAATACTCTATACATTTGAGAATCCTGTGGTATCTTAATAATAATAGTCAATGCTAGATCTAGTAATCAATGCTGCATACATACACAATTAGTTATTATAGAATGGCATTGCCACTTTAAAAATGAGGAAAATCGTCATCCATTTTCATACTACACGTTTGCCCGAACTTAACTAAATTTTAGTTGCAGTTCTGATCGCTAGATCTCGCAATTCCGTGGTTGCATACGCTTTAGGGGCTATAGCGAGTCTCCAATAGAGTGATGTAGCTAAGTCCAGGTTAAGCTACTGTTATCTCACTGATCCTTCTTGCGATAGTAAGAATAGGGTTTCTGCAGATTCCAACGTACTGCATTCGTAGAATATGCGTTGTTGAGCGTTGATTGGCCTCTTGTCATGTATGCTTTTTCACCTGTTGGTTAGATAGTAAGGACGCTTTGTTGTTACTAGCTATAGCTCGCTTTACTTGATGGCACTTTTCACTAAGGTTTTCGGCTGAACTCCTTTGCACCATTCCGCAACAATTTATAACAATTTAGTATTGACTATAGAAAGTTTTTGTGTTATCTGAATTACATACAATAGATTATATACAACACAACAATAAATTGAGAGTTGTACAACGCACACTGATTAAGCACTTGTTTGTGGTTAATGAATCGCAGATGCTTGACGTTAAATCGCAGGTCATGATGAGAGCCAGATGTCATCTATAGACAAGACCTGTAATAATGTTCTTGAGTTTTGAGCGCTTTTGAAACGGATGAATTTCTGCCTTTCTTGGGTGACTCTCTCATTAACCACATTCTCTTTCTGTCTCCTTTGTGCCCTTCCATTTATCTCCTCTTCTCTTTTTATTCTTTTCTCTCTCTTTAGTATATGTTTGGTAATAATTCTCCCATCTATGTCAACCATACTCGGAAAATGACAACCTTTGAGCAGATAAATTGTGGTCTGCTTTCTCCATCCCTTCCAACCTACTGCTATTATTCATGAATATTGATTTTGTTTCCTCTATAAGCAATTTAAAAGAATTGTATATTTAAACTAAGATTCATCACGTCTCTTGGTAGTATTTGCCAACTCAAACTCCACATAAAGCTACTAAAAAGTTTTATCGCCGAAAAAAGCAACTCATAAATTTTCCGGAAGTGAAACGAGACATAATTAAGTTTAAGTTTTACGTTAGAGTTATGCTCTTAGAGAAAACATTAGTTTAAGAACTGAAGTTTTCACATTTATTAGACCATAAAGTAAGATTCAACACGCGATATTGTGCCGAACGGATGTCAGCCTGAGAAATGAGACAATTTCCTCTTATTTGGCCGATAGGGATCTGGTATGTGTGTGTATGTATAAAAAGGAACAGAAATTTGACTCTCTGCCATTGAATAGAGAAGTAATGGTGACAGTTGTATATTTGTCTTGGGAAGAAATATAGGTGTAATTACTATTATTAGATATACAATTTTTATCAAGGCTCCTTTTGTGGTCCTTTATATTTGCTATATGAATTTACATCTTAAGTAATTAGAAAAGATAGTACATCAAAGGAAATATTCTACGTTTTGATATATTTTCATCCAATGGATTTTTAAAAATATTTTCATATATTTATTTTTATTTTATACTTTTAAAAAACAACTTGAATTAATAAACGAACTTTAATTGATCCTACTGACTACGTTCATTTAAATGTAATTCATTTAATTGGGTACATTGAAGATTCAGATAAGCCAATAAAATATTAATTAATTAATAAATAAATAAGTACATACATCAAGAGTCAAATTATATCAGCAAAAGTGCCGTAATAAAGTTTTTTAAATTGTTATTTAAACTAGCAATTTTATAAATTTAAATTTTTACATTTACAATAAATCTAAAATAATATGATTTTTGATATACACTAATGGAAAAAATTAAGGGATCAAAAAAAAATCTAAATTTTCGGCGATTTTTCAAATGGCTTGTATCTTTGATAAAAATGGTCGTATTGGAGTAAAAAAAAGCAATTTGAAGCTTGAAGTTAGACCACTAAAACAAACAGTTTTTTTTCAAACCGCCTTTTTTTCAGTAGAAAAAAAATTTGAATAAATTTTTTTTTTGTCATAACTTCAAACGCTTTTCGCACGTGTGTAAATCCGACCGTGCAACCTTCACGTGGTACGCTTTGGGTAACGCTAATGCCGGCGGTTTTGCGAAATTTCTGAAAATCGGTTCAAAAAAATTGTTTTTCGAAAAAATAAAAAGAAATATTTTTTTTCATAATTTCAAACGCTTTCTGCAATAAGAATGTAAAAAAAATCAAGAAAAAAATGGTTTTTTTAAATTTTTTTACAGATTATGAGTATTTAAAGGCAAAAAAACGTGATCCTTTAATTTTTTAAAAAATTAAATCGAGTGAAACAAAAAAACGGCTTGATGGATCGAATTGAAACTCTGTAGGGCTTTTAGGGGTACAATGACCTGTAAAAGGCACACTTAACATTAGTCATTTTCCCAATATTCTCAATGTGGCACGTGATTTTCTAGAAGACCCCTAAAAGTCCTATTTTTTACGATTTTTCAGTCATGTTAAGGATAAAAATTTTTTTTTCTAAAAAACCGTGTCAGGACCTTGTAGAGAATTCATTCAAGTTTCTGATACCCACCGTCGATTTTCTGTGCAACCATTGGTTTCTGAGATATCGATGAACAAAGAGACAATGATCCATTTTCATTCAAAGTCCGTTAGCTCAGCGAGAAATGGTCGTATCGAGACCAAAAAAAAAATTGAAGCTAAATGAACAACCTATCTAATCCATAAGGTGGTTAAGTTAGACAATTTTTTTCAAGTCCGTACACCAAAAATAAGATCGAAAAAAATTTCGAAAAAATTTTTTTCTTGATATTCATTAAGATTGCGCGATACGGTTACTTCAAAAAGAAAGATCCAAAAATTAGAAACTTCAAGCTTCAAATTGCTTTTTTTTACTCCAATACGACCATTTTTATCAAAGATACAGCCATTTGAAAAATCGCCGAAAATTTAGATTTTTTATGATCCCTTAATTTTTTCCGTTAGTGTATATATCTAATTTGTTTCTAAAAAATGGCCATAGAAAATTAGAAGATTCTTTCGGTTGTTTTTCTTACCTCAGAGTAATCCCAATATTATGATTTATTTGGATAATAAATCCAAAAATACTGTAAATCTTAAAAACTCCCATAAAAGTTGTATTATTTCGCGTTAGAGTTGAGGAATATTTACGAGCAAAATAATGCCCTCATGCTCATTGTGGCTACATGGGTCTTGAACTTAATTTACGACTTTTACATTGTTGGCAACAGTATAACCATAGCTTCCACCTAACTGACCTAGACATAATAATAATTGAGCTTTCTGCTTAGCTTAGCTTATATGTAAAGTAGTTTAATGAGACAGTACGACATACAAGAACGGATACACAGAGTCGGCTTTAGGTATTTCATCACACTTTTGAAATAAGTATCATTTCAGATTTCTAGGAAGAAAGTTTCAAACCCCTCGCAATCTTTTTTTTTTATTAATATTTGACTACTGAAATTGATCTCATGCTAATGTTTTAAGATATTATGAAAAATAATTATTCATTTATTCTATTAATAATAAACTTTGTAATAAATAATAAGAAATTCTAAAAATGTACTACATAATTAACTTTTATAATAA